GCATTTCCTAAAAAAATCTTAAAAATATATAGATGTTTATAAAATTTCAAAATAATTTTAAGATAATTCTTTTTTTCTAATTATTATTTTTAAGTCATTGTAAAATAAAGCGAATAAATAGAAAAAAAGATACTGATTTTACAATAGCAAAAAATGATATTTACCGCAAGGTTGCTCTGTCGGTACTCGATGCCTCCTCCTTCTCTCAAAATTGGGTTGACACTGGAAACTCGCGTAAAACACTCACGAATAATGGACTATAATCGCGCGGGGACTATAACTTGAGTCCGATAACTTGAACGGCACTCCCGAAAAACGCGCGACGAACCAGCTGCAATTTCATTTTCAAATAAATCGACGTCGAAGGTACGTTAGCTTTCCCATTGGAATTTTTACACGAAGAGAACGATTTTACTCAATATTTAAAAATTTATCTAGAGCGATTATCATTCAGATCTGAAAATTTTTAGATTTGAGAAAAACCATTCTTTTCGTATAAATGTCCTCTGGGTACTGAGCCCTCCTATCACGTCATACCCGTGAGAGGGAAGATAATCTGAAAAATGAAATAATATAGCTATTATATAGATAAAAGAGTTGAATCTTTTATTTATAAATGATGTCTGTAAGATATGAATAGAGTTAATGAAATGGGTTATTTAATAAAGAGAAATGTTTCTTTTATTACATCGGTAATAATAGTTTCAAAGAGTTACGTTTAATTTTTAAACGGATCGTGTAACGGAAGATGTACAAAAACAAAAAAATATTAAATTATTAAACTATATTAATTCTGAAAGCAGGATTGCGTTATTTGCATGAGAGTATTATTCATATTAATGTTGCTTTTTTATGTGTGATACCGTTCAGACAAAATAGTCGTGCCGCTCTTCTTTTTGAAATATATAATCGCAAGATTGTTAGATATATAATACGAAATTTTGTATTTTATGAATATTCACGTAATATGATTACTAGAATGATTAATTATTCATAAAGTACAACGTTATTATATTTGGCATTCTTCGTGATAAGATTTTAAAAAGTAATGTGAAAGAACCGCACGCGACACACCTGTTTGTACGAATTTCAGTAAGGGAATGACCGCGCGATAACTACGCATAAACGTAAACATGACGCGCCGCTCCGTGCCACCCCGTACCATCCACGTCCCAAGGTCGCGCGCCAACCGTCTAACTTTCGAAATAATAACGAATATTACGAATAAGTAAAATAATATATTTCTTTACATTTTTAATATTCTTCGGTTAATAAAACAATCATTTCTAGTTTTAGCAGCGCGAGTCGTTTAATGTGATATCATAATTATATTGTGATATATCGAGAAACATATTTGACGTTTATTTTATAATTTTAAATATCAATTTTTCGTATCAATTACAATGTGCTGACAAAAGGCAAAAAGTAAAAAGAGATTCTTATTAGTGTGATTTTTCTTACATAATTGCTCATATGAAATGCTTTTGACATCCCAATATTATATCTCAATTTTGATTGCTCTTTTTTATGCTGTACAAAATTTTATTACATTAAATATAGATTAATAATATGTCATACATCCTTTTTTAAATGAAGATAAATGCAAAAATTGATTTTAAATTATAAAACAATTTTGATTGAATAGAATAATAGTACGCGTCTAACAATAAGAATCTCATTTTTATTGTTAGTTACCATACATCTAAGAACACGTGAAATATTTGAAATATTCATGAGCTATGTATGCGAGTAATGAATCTACAAAATAAAAGATAAAAAATGCAATACAACCTATTAACCCTTAATGTATTTCTTAGTTTTAGGCAATCTTATGTAATTCGCGTTCATGGATATCTAATTGCAATTAATTAATGCGACACCCCAGAGCAACTCGTAAATACGTCCGTCTCCTTCCGAGATCGCCGAGCGAATGCCGAAGTGATGACGTAGTCAATCACCGCGCCGCACGGCAAGCTCCCTCTTCCTATTCGCCGCGTGACCTTTCCGTCCCCTCGTCGAGCGCTGTTCGAATACCCTACTAATTGAGCATGAAAAAATATTCACGATTTATTCAATTATTCATATTTTACATGATTTTGACAAACGGATACCACCGTAGATTTCGCGTTTTGTTTTCTGGCATCTCTGGCACAATCCTATATTACTTGCACAGTTCTTTTGAACATAATTAGTAATTATTCCCGTGGATTTTTTGATATTTCAACG